CTAATCAATTTATTCGGTAATTCTTCTCATGAGAGTGTGACAGCACAAGCCCAACTGCTTTTGGTTCTATCATCTTCTCGACCGATCGACCACACAATCTTCTTTGTCGCTTTTGTTCCAGTTACAGCCTTAATTTTGATAAGGCAGTTAACTGAACATGGATGATGCATATCCATTGAGTTATTTTGTTGCGTGCCCGTCAACCCACGCCGTGTTAATGTTAACTAGTACTATACTACTGAGTCTGAGTGACCACTGCCAAAAGTTGGGATGATACTACGGGACCTGTAATGACTGTCCTGTTTCAATCACAAACAACAGGAGAGGAATAAAATGGGCACGGGAAGAGTTGGCATCTGAAATTCATGGGGAAACCGTGGTCCGTTCTCGCGCAACTGCCAAAACATTCAATAAAACCGTAGTATTTCAACTTGGACTCTACTAGCATTCATGAGGCAACCGTACACGATCGACCGGCATATCTAGCATTGAACTCCAGCTAGCTGGGGCGCCGTCGCCATCAGACGCTTGCACAACTGCGTGTGATGCAAGGCAGGAAGGAAGGAGAGAAGAAACATCACGCTAGTTCATTTGTACACCAAGCCTGCTATGCAAAACTCAACTGAACTGAACTGAACTTTGTTGTTTGACAGCCGAAACTGAAGATTAATACAGCGTGTTCCTGTCGATCACGAGAGCTTGCTGCCTTGTAGTTGAGTAGCTTGTGGATCGGGAGGAAATGCGGTGCCAATGAGACTACTGCTGCAATTCCAACCCACCAGGCAAAGTGAGGGGTCGCCAACAAAAGTTCATCACACACTGCAGAGCATGGGAAATCAGAAAGGAGAATTTGGATGAGAAGCGCTATTCAGGTGCTCAAAGCAACACATAAAATAAAAGGGCCTGGTGATGGTTACCAGAGGCAAATGGAAGGGAAAACTAGATGCAACTAATTTCACATAATCAAAAGTGCCAATCGAACTATCGCAAAAGTCCTAATCGAACTATTGGTTTCCATGAATTCCTTCATAATGGCAATGACAACCACTTAATTTGTACTCCATATGCAACCATCGGTGCAGCAGACAGGGTTGCGCCTACTGATTGATGCTAACCAGATGGTCTTGGAGTAACTACTCTTCCCTTTACCGCTTTGCAGATATGATAGCTCGGTACTTAGTTATTGGTGCCTGTGTGTACATTGTGCTTGCTGATTTAAGCTTAATTCACATTTCCTTGGAAAAAACAAGCTTACTTGTGTGTAAAAGTTCACTAGGAACCTACAACTTTTTTTTGAGGGCTACTAGGAACCTACAACTAATGTCCTACTTTGTGGAACGGTGGAACCGTATCCGACATGTGGTCCATAACTTTTGTGTTACCAGTTTCAGAAATGAAATTGGGGGAAACCCTGAATTCGAAAAATAAAAAAAAAACACGGATCCGTACTAGGCCAACTTTCTCAAGATCACTTTTAATTTTTGATCAATTTATTTAGTATCTTCTCAGCACAAGCCCAACTGCTTTTGGTTCTATCATCTTCTCGACCGATCGACCACACAATCTTCTTGTCGCTTTTGTTCCAGTTACAGCGTTAATTTTTATGGGGCAGTTAACTGAACATGGATGATGCATATCCATTGAGTTATTTTGTTGCGTGCCCGTCAACCCATGCAGTGTTAATGTTAACTACTAATATATACTCCCTCCGTTCCAAATTACTCGTTGTGGTTTTAGTTCAACTAAAACCACGACGAGTAATTTGGAACGGAGGGAGTACTACTGAGTGACCACTGCCAAAAGGATACTACGGGACCTGTAATGAGTGTCCTGTTTCAATCACAAACAACAGGAGAGGAATAAAATGGGCACGGGAAGAGTCGGCATCTGAAATTCATTCATGGGGAATCTGTGGTCTGTTCTCGCGCAACTGGCAAAACATTCAATAAAACCATGGGAGCGTTTCGATTTCAATTCATTCATGAGGCGACCGTACACGATCGAGCACCGTCGCCATCAGACGCTTGCATCGATGTTGCTCGACTTTGTAGCTTCGTAGTTGCTTCTCGGGCGGGAGGAAATACGGCGAAGGCGATGCCAACACGATGCAGACTACTGCTGCAATTCCAACCCACCAGGCAAAGTGAGGGATCCCCAGCAAAAGTTCATCAGACACTGCAGTGCAAAGGGAAATCATAGAAAACAATATGGATGAGAACCACTATTTAGGTGCTCAAAGCAGTATACTGCATACAGAAGGGCCGGGCAGTGACAGCTATACTGTAAAAAAAGGACAGACCCGGTGCCAGAAAATCCCACACCAGGTTGGGTCCGTGAAAGGATTATACGAGGCAAGCCTAACCCCTGCACAATGCAATGCAGAAGGCCGCGTCGAACCCATGACCTCTTGGCACAAAGTGACAGCTAAAGTGTGAATCAAACTATTTCAAAGGAAGCTCTGCGCACTATCTGTTTTTATAAATTCCTTCATAATGGCAACGACAACCACTTAATTTGTACTCCCTCCGTTCCAAGTTAGTACAAAGTTGGATCATCTATTTTGGAACGGAGGTAGTAGTAACAAACAGCGACTAAGTGACCCTATATGCAACCATCGGCGTAGCAGACAGGGTTGCACCTACTTATCGATGCTAATCCGATGGTTTGGATTAGCTACGCTTCCCTTTACTGCTTTGCTGATATGATAGTTCACTGCTATAGTTATTGATGCCTGTGTACACTGTAGAGTAAAACCACCGTGCTTACTCATTTATGCTAATTAACATGTCCTTAGAAAAACCAAGCTTAGAGCAACTCTAGCAGACCCCGTATATCTCGCGAACCCGCAAAATTCCGCCGAGTATACGGGCTCGGCCCAATTTTCTGGCCAGAACAGAGCCCGTATACTCGTCCGCCCCGTACAAAAAAATTACCGCGGCCTGCAAACCGCCCATCTACGGGTTTGCGGGGCAGATATGGGTCGAAACCCTATCCCCCCGCCACCGCGTTTCGCCGCAATTTCCCACTCCCTCCCTTGCATTTCTCGCCGCCGGTGAGCCCGCTTCCGCCTCCAGTCGCCATGTGGGGCTGTATGTGGAGCTCCGGCCGCAGCTCCTGCGGGGGCGGTGACCCCGAGCGCGAGCGGTGTGTCCGCGCGAGGAAGCGCGCGGCCAAGAAGTGAACCAACCAAGGCCTTGAGCCGCCGGCGTCGCTCCTCCGCCGCGAGATGGAGGAGTACGACCGCCGGCACGGGCTCCTTCGGTCGCCCTCCTCGGCCGCGGGCTCTTCCTCCGCCGCGAGGGGCCGTTTCGGCGCGGCGCTTCTCCCCGTGAAGAGGGAGTGGTCGGAGGAGCCGGAGGAGATCGAGCTCATCGCCATCAAGCAGGAGCCGGAGGAGATCGAGCGTCGAGGCGTCGTCAGGCCCGAAGATTTTGTGGCTGATGTCGACGCGGTCGCGGCCGCCATTGCCGAACGGAGCTTGCGCGAGGAGGCGGAGCGCCGGCGCCACGACGAGGAGCTTGAAGACCTCATCCTCAAGCAGGCGGTCGCAGCCAACCTTGACGCGAAGGACAAGTACGACGAGTGGCGCCGCATCCGCGAGGAGCAGAGGTAGAAGTTCATCGACCTCGTCAGCTCCGACGAGGAGGACTGAGCTCCTCCACCGCGTCGTCCTCGACTGCGAGCTCGTCCATTTTGGTACATCGACCTCGGCCTCGCCGCCGTGAGATCCCCCACCCCCCTCTAGTAGTAGTAGAAGAATGTAGATTGTATAATCTTGTAGTATATGATGAACTAGTGTATGATCATGTAGTATGTGAAGAACTAGTGTGGTTGCAATTTCTCCCGTGAAAGTTTTTTTTTAAATTATACAGTTTCATATACGGGGTCTACTCTGCCGCGCACGATTTCGACCAGCAAAACAGTTTGACGTCGAACTGTAAACGCCATATGCGGGTCGGCTTTTTACAGGGTCTGCCAGAGTTGCCCTTACTTGTATGTAAAAGTTCACCAGAAACCTACAAATAATGTCTGTGTATAGTACCACTGTCATTGTGCAAGAACATGCTTCAGATATTTTAGATTGAGTGGAGCTTCTTTACAAATACAGACACTAAAGCAAAATGGAACCAATGTGTAAAAAAAAGCATTAGTATCACAAGTGCTTAAAAGTTCAGCTCTGAGGGTGCAAGTTTGCGGCTGCTGTAGTTTTTGTAGTGGGTTTCAGTTTCTGTATCATCAGGTTATCTGATGGTTGGGGATACAGAAACTGAAACACACTATTTCAGATGCTAGAATTTTGGGTTCAGATGCCCTACTAGGCCAACTCTCACTTTTAAATTTTGATCTACCGCTGATGCTAATCAATTTATTCAGTAACTTCTCAGGAGAATGTGACAGCACAAGCGCAACTGCTTTATGTCAAGCATCTTTTCGACGGGTAGAGAACTGATCGACCACACGATCTTCTTGTCGCTTTTGTTCCAGCTACAGCCTTAATTTTGATGTGGCAGTTAACTGAACATGGATGATGCAGATCCATTTGGTTATCTTGATGCGTGCCCATCAATCCGCACAGTGTGAACTACTACTGACCTCCGCCACAAGTTGAGGTGATACGAGACCCGTAACCAGTGCCGCGTTTCAATCACAACAGAATGAAATGGGCACAGGAAGAGTCAGCATCTGAAATTCATGGGGAACCTGTGGTCCATTTTCTGGAGTGGTGCAACCAGCAAAACATTCATTCAATAAAACCATAGTATTTCAATTAATTCATGAGGCAACCGTACAGGACTGAACGACGTATCTAGCATTAAACACTAGGGCAACAACCATCAGATGCTTGTACAACTGCGTCTGGTGCAGGGCAAAAAGGAAGGGAAGAAGAAAGAAGACAATACATGTGCACTAGCCTGCTACCTACTATGCAAAACTAAACTGAGCCAAACTTTCTAGTATGACAGACAAAGCTGAAGATTCATACAGCGTGTTCCGGGCGATCACGATAGCTTGGCTGCATCGGCGTCGGTCGACTTTGCAGTTTCGTAGTTAAGTAGCTTGTGGATCGGGAGGAAATACGGTGCTAGTGATGCCAACACAAGGCAAATCACTGCTGCAATTCCAACCCACCAGGCAAAGCAAGGGATCCCCAGCAAAAGTTCATCACACACTGCAGAACAACGGAAATTAAAAAGAGCAATTTGGATGAGAAACGCTATTTAGGTGACTCAAAGCAGTACATCAAAGGACCAGGCAATGACAACCAGAGCCAGTGAAAGGGAAAACTAGATGCAACTAATTCCACATAATCAAAATCGTGAATCAAACTATTTCAAAGCAAGCTCTGTGCGCTATCTATTTCTGTAAATTACTTCATATGGCGCTGGAAACCTATTAAAGTGTAACAAAAATTAACGACTAGGTGCCTATATCAACCATTGGTGCACCAGACAGGGTTGTGCCTACTAATTGTTGCCAATTACATGGTCTTGGAATAACCAAGCTTCACTTTCCTGCTTTGTGGATATGAAAGCTCACTACCTATAGTTATTGATGCCTGTGTGTACACTGTACAGTACTGCTGTGCCTACTCGTTTATGCTAATTCACATGGCCTTGGAAAAAACAAGCTTGTATGAAAAGGTTCACTAGGAACCAACAACCAATTAACATGCTTCAGATATTTTAGATGAGTATGACTTCTTTAGAAATACAGCCACAGAAGCAAAATGGAACCAACGTGTAAACAGCTTCAGATTCCAAGTACTAAACGGACAAGTAACTACAAAAATATCATAACTCAGAAAACCAAGGATCTCTAACAGGCCATCTTTTTCACCCCAACTTTTGAATTACGATCTACAGCCAATGAATATCATTCTCCAATTGAGCTGTCATCTTTCTTACAGCAAAAAGGGACAACATTAGCTATTGCCTAAATGAAGCAGATTTTTGTACAATTGTACTAATGCAATTCAGATGTAATAATATTCATCTAGTCAGGTAGTGCCAATGGGAACAAAATTTCTTATATTTATGACAGGAGGACACAACAGAATGCTTTGCTCTTAAATGGGAACAGCAGACATTCATACTAAACTGAACTTACTAGAACAGCGCACAGTTCACAACAGAATGCTTTGCTCTTAAATAGGAACAGCAGACATTCATACTAAACTGAACTTACTAGAACCGCGCACAGTTCACAACAGAATGCTTTGCTATAAATGGGAACAGCAGACATTCATACTAAACTGAACTTACTAGAACAGCGCACAGTTCACAACAGAATTCTTCGCTCTTAAATGGGAACAACAGACATTCATACTAAACTGAACTTACCAGAACAGCGCACAGTTCACAACAGAATTCTTCGCTCTTAAATGGGAACAACAGACATTCATACTAAACTGAACTTACTAGAACAGCATGCAGTTCGTTGTCATGCAATGTGCATAATGACATATATATTGCATACAAAGAGAAAGTGAATAGTGAAAACAAAATTGAGGATCTGCTAGTATGTTTAGCCTGTTAGGTTAGTAAATAACGTTCTAGTTTTCCTTGAAATGTTTACTTTAGGTAGGTGGCTTATGTTGATATCGTCTAAAAGTTCTGGCCGCAGATCATCTCCATTTTAATACAATTTATCACACAAATCAGCATTTTAGGCTTACTTGTACATATTAGTGACTTATATTTCGTTGTATGGAAGAATGTTCTACAAATTTCAAGACCTTTACCTGTTAGATAAACGGGGAAATGATATCAAGCATTGATCAGTGAGCAACCAAGGTTTCAAATACTACATGATGATGCTCAAAGCAATGATTGATTTTATGGCATGGCACAAAATGAACAAACTACAAACAGACACTAGAAGCAGTCTATCGGCTATTGGCTAATCAAGGAAAATTGAAATGTAAAGAGACAGCAATTACGAGCTAGCATACCAATGTTGAACAGGGCAAGCTCTCTCTCCGATACATTTGGCTTCGCAACCACACCCTCAGGCTCCACCGTGACAAGAACATAAACCTATATTTCAATCACAAACAGCCATTATAAATCATCTCATCAAAGGGCACGCCACTCTGATTCTGCAGCCAAGCAACAATTCTAGCTAATAATTCACTGAACACCAACCGGCTTGGTGCTCTCAGCCTGGAAAATGATCTTCTCCGTGTTGAGCAGCCTCCTGTTCTTACTCCCCTGGTCCTCCACAGCATCAGGATCGCTCACGAGCCGAATCGAAAAGCTGGACGGTATCTGCAAACCACAAGCAGCGCCTTCAAGCACAAGAAGATGCAATGGGTTTACTGGCGAAACAAATGGTCTTTGTCTTTTGACAGCCAGGGTGAGAATGAGATCGTACGGAGGCCGGGTAGGAGATCTTGACTTCGTACCACGCGGGCGGCCGCAGCCCGGCGAGCCTGTAGACCCTCCGGCCGTGGCGGAGCGGCATCGTCTCGCCCACCAGCTCATTGCCGACGCTGAGGGCCCTCGCCGACTCCTCCGCCTCCAGGCTGCTGCGGGGGCAACGCACGGCGGAGCTGTTGGCGAACAGTACCAGAAAGAGGCGCGGACGGAGACAGAGAGAGAGGGGCGCACCTGCGCGCGGAGGAGAGCAGGAGGAGGACGATCAGGAGGACACGCGGCGGCGGCATGGCGAGGAGAGCGGATGCGGCGGCGATGGCATCCGCGCGGGCTCCCTCCGGCGACGGCGAAGCAGTTGCGAATGCCTCCGTGAGAGGTTACATGGGCCTACACGGTACGCATGGTGTGGGCCAATAGCGAGCCGGACGGCCCAACAGAATATGGGCCTTATGGGCCATTTTGCTGGCCGGGTTAGCCCATCCAGACGACCCCCTTCCGAAACCCTAGCCCCCAAACCCCAGCTACATAAGCCACTCCCTCCGCCCGCCGCCGCCTCCTCTAGCCTCCAGCTCTCTCTCCCTCTCTCTCGCCTCCTCCCTCCCCCTGCAGGAAGCTCGTCGAGGTAAGCGCACGCCCTCCCATCGCGCCAGGGCATTTGCTCCCGCTCCTCTGCCGGATCTGACCCTGGGGTTTGGTTTTGCGGCCGCAGATGTCGTCCGAGGCGGCGAAGGTGGTGGTGCCGGAGTCGGTGCTCCTCAAGAGGAAGCGGGAGGAGCTCTGGGCCGCCGAGAAGAAGACCAAGGCCGTCGAGGAGAAGAAGAAATCCAGCGAGAACGTCAAGGTCATCTACGCCCGCGCCAAGCAGTACGCCGAGGAGTACGATGCCCAGGTCAGATCGCTGCTCCCGCCCGATCCCTCGCCCCTTAGCGGTCGCTTGCTCGTGCGTTCGTGCTTAGATTTAAGCGTTCGAGGATGCGTTACGTTGGATCTGTGACTGGGTCATTTGTATGCGGTGACTCCTGTTCGTACTCGATGCGATTTCTGCTAATAATAGGTAGGCATACACATGCATAGATGTAAATACTCGTTCACGGTGATGCCGCAGTGACCTAGAGATGCCCTTCGGTTCTTAGCTGTATCAATTCTTTGCATGTTGTTGTATGTCCATGTCCCATGCCATTGTGTGTGTGTGTGTGTGTATAATGACCTAGGCCAGATTTGCATGGTGTTGCAGCAAAATGAAATCAAACCTGAACCATTTAAGGTGATTTAGGTGCTGTATTTTAGTGTGTCGACTATAACTGTTCGGTGTAAATTGCTGCAATCTTTGTTCAAATTTGACGCCCAGCTTAGTGTCATTGAAATGTTTCCTTCTGCTTGATTTGACGCCCATCTGGTATCTTTGAAATGTTTCCTTCTTGAAGGAACTATTAGCTCTGCTTCTAATAGCTTAACTTTGGGAAATATACTTAATGCTGGTTTTGTTTGCAGGACAAGGAGTTGGTTCAGCTTAAGCGTGAGGCCCGGATGAAGGGTGGGTTCTATGTCAGTCCTGAGGCTAAGCTGCTGTTTGTTGTCAGAATCAGAGGGTAACTCACACCACCTTGCCACTGTTTGTCTTGATGTGTATGTTGTGTTCATTTCTGGCTTAAGTTAATGCTAATTTTGTCAAATGTCTGGCTGCAGTATCAATGCCATGCACCCAAAGACCAAGAAGATCTTGCAGCTGTTGCGTTTGAGACAGGTGGGTTGGACAATTTGTTGGTTGTGTCAAGTTTGAACTTGATTCATGCGTCCATACCTTGTTTGAAATGATTTTTTACTTGTGTTTGTTGTGCCAATTCTTTGATTGTGCAGATATTCAATGGAGTGTTCCTGAAGGTTAACAAGGCCACCATCAACATGCTCCGCAGGGTCGAGCCATATGTTGCATATGGGTATGTTACAAGTGTGCATTTTTTATCTGTTGGTACATGATACATGCCTTCAACATTGAATGACTGAATTGCTGTTTGTTAGAACCTTGCTAGATTTGTTTTTTCCTATTGCGAGCCTGGAAGTTTCACACAGTTAGCAGAGTAGTCTCACACTAAATACTCTTTCTGAATCAACCCCTGCATTTAATTCTACAACCTGATGTCAACTAGTCAAAGACACAAGAGTCTTTGATGTTCGGTTTGTATCTAAATGGATCGAATCATTATACTTGTAGGTACCCGAACCTGAAGAGTGTGAGGGAGTTGATCTACAAAAGAGGTTATGGCAAGCTCAACAAGCAAAGGATTCCTTTGACCAACAACAAGGTCATCGAGGAGGTGAGCAGTCAGATTCCTCAACATATGGCCCTTAATTTATTTCCAAATGCAACTCTGGGTTGATTCTGACCATTTTGTTGTCTACTATCAGGGTCTTGGAAAGCACAACATCATCTGCATTGAGGACCTTGTGCATGAGATCTTGACCGTCGGTCCTCACTTCAAGGAGGCCAACAACTTCCTGTGGCCCTTCAAGCTGAAGGCGCCGCTGGGAGGCCTCAAGAAGAAGAGGAACCACTACGTCGAGGGTGGCGACGCCGGCAACCGCGAGAACTACATCAACCAGCTCGTCAGGAGGATGAACTAGGTTGATCATCGATGATCTCTTGTATTCGGAAGATGTTTTGTTTGTTAAGCCTGCTTTACATTAGGAAGTGGATGGTGGATGCAGTTTTGATATTTCGGAACCATGATATGCATGTTTGGAAGAATCTGACTCTGTATGTGGAGGTTTTGAGACCGTGTTTAATGCCTCCTGCTATGTGCCTCGAATACGTTTCTCGTTGCTGTCTACATAGTATGTGGGGCTTTGTAATTTTTACTTTGAACTTGCTGGTTCTGCGTAAATTTTTCTGTTGTTTAGAGCAACTCCAAAGGGGTGACACAGCGACCCATTTCTATTTAGTGTCCAAATTTGAGCCACATTTAGGTCGTGGGCGGACACAAAACGGATGCTTTCTCTGGCTCCCTTGTCCGTGTGCGTCCTGGCCTGGCCCGCTTGTCACCCACCCATCCCCTCTACTTTTATTAGCTGGCCCACCCCACCGCTCGATGCGCCTCTGCTCCTTGTCTCGCCGCTCACCCTTGCTGCGTCGCGCCGTGTCGTGCCGCTCTCCGCCCTGCCGCCGCTGCTGGTCGCGCGCTCGGCCGCGGGCTGAATCTGGGCGGAGGTGAGCGTCACGTCCCTCCTCCACTGCTCGCCGCTCCCCGATCTGGCACGAGGGTCCGGTGCTGAGGAAGCGAGCGAGGCGGCTCCGCGACTGCACAGAGTGGACGCCGGCCTCCCACGCGTCGTAGCTCGCGTGCCCGACCCGATCTCGTCCCCTGCACCGCTGCTGGTCGCCCCCACCTTCACCGTCCCCGCGCCACCCCGCCTCTCCTGGTCGCGCGTCTCGCCACGCCCGACAGCGCCTGGCCTCGCCCCGCCGTGCCCTCGCGCTCGCCGCGCCATGCTCGTGGCGCTCGTCGTGCCGCCCCCGCCGTGGGGTTCGACCTCGCCCATCAGCACCTCCCCCTCCCCCGCGCTGCGAGCTCCCCTGCCCTGCCTGCTACGTGTTCGAGAAAATGTCAGGGCGGACATGTTGAAAATGGGTCTGGCTGCCGTTGGACGCACACGCAGACCCAAATAAAAAAGCGAACATGGACGCGCGGACAGGCGACCCATACGAATAAAAAACAGACAAAATCGATATCTGTTTGGATCACCTTATTGGAGTTGCTCTTATGCTAACATATATTTCGGGTTCGGCTTGCATTCGGCTGGAAATTCCGACTAAACAAACATTGCAGCCGGACTTCAGAAAGGAAAATGAGAGAGCAGCACATTCCCACACATTAACGATGACTGACCAACCATACGCTGAATGCATTTGGAATAGCCAAGGAGAAATTGATGAAGCATGTTCTGCCCTGGCAACAGTACATGTAAAGGTTATGGAGAACATATATTATGCACCGTCGAGCGGACTCCTCATCCCCACTCAAATCCTCTTAAGAGCGAGTATGGTTCGTCCTCTAGTTATAATCCACTCAAATCCTCTTACCGAAAAAGGCTTTCATCCCGCTTTATATATAAAGCATAAACCAACAATGTCGAGTACAACCGCACGTACCCACCACAAACGCACACACACCCAAGACAAGATACATAAGCGCTGAGCGCAGCAACACACTCCCTAGCACTACACGAGCCGCCGGGAGCTTCAACCGTGTACACCCCGAAGAAGTGGAGCCGCATATGACGAACCGTGGGCTCCAAGGCGGCGCCTTCAGGAAGGATACGGCACCGGAGCGCCGCCATCGCCCGATCCGAGGATCAGAGTTTCCCCTGGAGCAACACGATGGGCAGTGATAGCCGCGACGACGCCTTCAAGAAGGAAGCGATCTTCGCCGTCGCCAGTCCGTCCGAAGATAGAGAGGTTTTCACCCCGGCCAACACACACTGCCACCGAACGCCACATCCTGGCTACCATGGCGCCCACACGGCCATGGCAGCCGAGCAGCACCGAGGCACGCGCTCTGTCCATGAGCACCGCGCCACCACCACCAGGGCCGCTGCCCCGGAATCCAAGACCTTGACACCAAGTCCTCCGAGCCCCACCGATACCCCAACCACAGAGACGGGCGGAAAGGCTCCGGCTTTCGCACCCTTGGCCGGTCCCAGCGCCGAGACCCAATAGGCCGGCGACAAGCCTCCATCGAGCCGTCCTGCGACACCGAGCGCGAGACGAGCGCAGTCCTGTCGCCAGGCGCGAGACGGGCCAGTCCTGTTGCCGGGCGCGAGACGAGCGCAGTCCTGCTGCCGGGCGCGAGACCGGCCGGTCCTGCTGCCGGGCGCGAAACCAGCTTAGTCCTACGGCACCGGATGCGAGACGGTCGATGGACAACAGCCGGGAGAAGGCCAGCCCACCGGCGAGATAAGCGAACAGACGCCGAGAAGAGGAGTCGAAGGCCGATACATGCAGCCTACAGACGAGCCGCCGCCAGAACAATCTGGCCGCCACCGCAATCAACCTGCCACCACCACGGCAGCCGCCGGGCACGCACCCGTGCAACCACCGCCACTGCGCCGCCACCCCGACCAGCCGAGGGGGCCTCGGTCAGGGCCGCCACCCGCAGCCCTAGCCGCCGTGGCCCACGTCACCGAAAGGCCAGATCCGGAAGAGCCGCCGTGGCCGCCGTCTCCAACCTCCGGCCCGCACCACCACCACCAACTGCCGCGGTGCCACCACCACCTGCCGCGGTCACGGCAGAGGTGGCCACCGACAACCCGTGCCGCCATGAGCCAGATCTGGCCGCGCTGGAGTCGCCGCTGTCTCGGGCACATGCGCCATCCGCCTAGCCGCCCGCCGTGGGGGGAGGCAGGGACGGCAGGGCGCCACCCCAGCCCGCCGCGCCGCCATGGAGCCCGGCTGCAGCTCCACGACCCGGCCCGGGACGCCGGCCCGCGCCAGCACCGCCCGAGTGGGGAGACAAAGGGGCCCCGCCGCTGCCGGCAACAGCAGGGCTTCGCCCGGCTGCGCCCCTGGGCGGCGGCGAGGAAGGAGGAGTGGGGAGGAGGGAGCGGCGGCGAGGGTTGGGGTTGGCCTCCGGGCCGCCTCGCGGGAGACGACGCGGAGGGAGGGGACCAACTCTATACCTTATGAGTTGCAAACATCTGGCATCTGTACCAGGAAGTCTTGGGAGTTACTCGGCCCTTCAGACTAGGATGGTTCGTCCTCGTCCTCTAGTATTAGAACAACTACGGCAACTAGCCGATGAGCAGAATTGGATTAGGAGGTATGACGAAACACATGCAACCTTGGTTTTACGAGGTGCCAACTAGGTCACCTTCTGCATCATGCAGGGATGGCATCAACTTGCTCGTGCCGAAGGTGGTCTGATCAATATGGCCTTGTTCAGCCGTTGTGTCTCTAACCCGTGTGCCATGACAAGATCATTGTTGATGTCGGCTCCTAGATTGACTCCTAGTTGTACCGGCTTTTGCAACTGCCCAGTGGCAACTTTGAAATAGTATAGAGGTTTGGTTGTCAATGAAATGTCAATGGGCTAAGAAAACTGAATTTTGGCACTGAATCGCTACTATGCAATTTATTTTATGTAAAAAATATTCTAAATAACTTAGACATACAATGAAGCCTGAATTACTAACATGAATAATAACTTCCTTCATACTAATCTATATATTTATTTCCTCCATTTTTTTTAAAAAATATAGCTCTTGCGTTTAAGTCTTCAATGATCTATGGTTTTGTGATTTCGTAGAGATCTATATCCGGGTTGTTCGCAAGAGCAACAGACTAATGACCATACATTTTGTTTATCTGCAGTGGAGATTATTGCGTAGAACACTAGCCAATTGATAGCTACTCTCTCTGTACAATAATATTTGTAGTTTTAGCAGCTCAGTTTGAGTTGCTAAAACTACAAATATTATGGTACAGAAGGAGTATATTATACTCCCTCCGTTCCAATATACTTGTTGAAGAAATACACAAAAATGGATATCGAGAACTAAAATGCGTCTAGATACATCCATTCCCCCGGCAAGTATTTTTGAACGGAGGGAGTAGTAGTCAGCAAATTGAAGTTTTGACCTTAAGCCAAGCACGACACATCGAAAGAAGGCAAAAAGTCCTAGTATGAAATTTTCTAGCATGTTCTGGCTTGGAAACTGCCATGGACATCAGTTCCGTAGAATGACGAGAGATAGGTTTGCTGAGAGCACCACGCATCATTAATGACAAAGTAGATCGTTTCATTTGCTTAAACAACAGTGACCCAAGCTCAAGTGTACAAGTGCGAGGAGTTTATGAGCTTGATGAGGAAGCATATCCCACTATCCCCAGGCGACTACAATTCGAGGACTGCAATGTATATCCATGGCAACGCTTTTCCCATAAAGGTAGTTTTTATGACACAAAACACACACCAGGGTAATACAAGTGAAATAAGTTCACAATTGGCCTCAATATTGCTCGACTGCACACATAGAAAAGAATTCTTTAACTGGCGTAGTCTACAACAAGAAGGAAAATACCGCATCCAAATCAATGTGAAGGAAGTCCGATCTAAAGACAAATCCATGTTTGGTAAATATCTCTTCGGACATGCTCTCCATATGGATACATTTTACATAGGCAACTGTCAGTGCTCCGGTCGGTGTAGAATACACTGATAACAGAGTATGCAAAGACAATCTACATTGGGGAATAATATTTTTTTTCCTCAAAAAGAAGATAATTAGTCAAAGACTTCTAAATTAATTGTGACACGTGTTTTAAGGTTCAAGGTTTCTAAATTAATTGGGGCATCATAGTGGAGGAAAATTCAGTATATAGAACTGACTAAGAACTTCCGGTTCTTGTGACACCAGGACTCATCAGAACTATGTCACTGTTGAACGCAGCCTAGGCCGGAGTAAGTCATAGCCTCATAGGAGGTGAGGTACTTAAGATTTGTTCAATTGTGTTTTGTTTTCTATGCACACTGTGAAACAATCCTTGATATTGGTCACAGAGTGGTGCATTGCCCAACCATCGATACATTACTTAAGACATTAATTTTTTTTATATGAGTAATACGCTA